GGATGGACGTTGAGGGCGTTTGGACATACGAATGTGCATGTGCTTAATAATTTTAGGCGCTGGTGTGAGGAGGGGTATCCGCTGGAGGAGGGGGAGCCGGGGGAGGTCGAGAGCGTGGAGTATCCGGTACCGGAGGAGGGTTTGGTGAGAGATAGGGTGGTCGCATTTGAGGAGTTGAGGGAAGTAGTCCTGGAACAAAATAAGGAGGGTGCGGAAAGGGTGCAGGTGCTTGATGCGAGGAGCAGGGGCCGTTGGGAGGGGAGTGAGCCGGAGCCTAGACCTAGTATAGTATCCCAGTTGTGAAGACTGATGTTATGATTGCTGACTTGGGTGAAGGTCTGCCGTCTGGTCATATCCCTGGCTCGATATCTGTTCCTGTGCCGGAACTTCTGGATCCGAAGACTAAGGCATTCATGCCGGCAGAGGAGCTCAGGGCTCTCTTTCAGAAGAAAGGTGTCGATACTAGCACGCCAATCATCTGCAGTTGCGGTACGGGCGTCACGGCTGCTGTGATTGATGCTGCGTTGACTGAGGCGGGCTTTGGTGAGGAGAACCGGAGGTTGTATGATGGTAGTTGGACGGAATGGGCACAGCGTGTTAAGCCCTCTGATAATCTCATCAAGAAGGTTGGATAGGTGCATAGTCGAACTGTTGACCTTTCTTAGTTATATTGGCGTATGGTTCAAAAGTTATATTGTTTGCCGCCACAGCGGTGCTATGGTTCTGCTGCTCCGACTGCTGGCCATATGTCCTGGAGTTCATGGCTAAACCTGTTCATTTCGGTGTTAGTATGGTGTATCATGGCGAGATACCCAGTCATTATCGAGGTTCTGTTTCCCACGGTCGATCGCGGGTGTACTTTAGGGACGTTTATTATAGCTTACTTGGAGCAGGTGATGCCAGAGGATTACCTCTTTCGCGAGTTTGTTTCATCTTGAGTTTCTTCGTTTAGAGACTTTCGTCTCAATCCTTATCATGTAGCCAACAAATGTAAACCCTTCTCGTCTTAAGAGTCATTTTCCGAAGCCATTTCATTTGAAGCTTTCTTGTCTAATCCCTTCTACACTTCCATAACGTCGAATCTCTCGCCATGTCAGTTTGTCGTTACTCCCACGTGTATCATTACTCCCACGTGTATCAGTACTCTTCACTCTCCATCATCATCAACACCAACTTCTTCAAACACCGATTCTGTAAATCGTTCGGAATCCCGCACCTTTTCTACCTCGCGTCGGATTTTACCTGGTAACCAAGTCAGTAAGTTCGCGTATTTTGTTACTGCGCCAGAGATAACGTAAAGGTTCTCATGGTCCAATTCCTGTGAACGAAGTTTTGGATTCCCTTTAGACCAGACCCCAGTTAAACTTTACTGTGTGGTATCCTGGTAAAAGCACTGTGTGGCACTGGGGGCTTAATGTGGCACTAGGGATTCATGTGGTACTGGGGGCTAAACGTGGCACTGGGGGTAAATTTTTTCTTCTTTTTTCTCTTACCCAAGGGAGTAAGTAGTCTCTACCGGTGTCTGTGTCTTCTTTTGTTAGAGTTGATCCTTTTTGAGGTTATGCGATGGTTGTCCGTCATTGATTGGTATCATATCTTTTTGGCTTTTGTGTAGAGAAAGTTATTACCATGTTGCGAAGGGATTTTCAGCACATATTGGTTCTCCCAGGCTCTTATAAGGTAAACACTTATGAGAAGGAAAATATCTGGTTTATTTTTCTCTTCTTGGTGCGATACTTCCGCTGTTTCCTTTCATACTTTGTTCCTGTTTTGTGTCATCTTAGAGTTATCAACTTCAACATATGCTCATTTAGGTCATTCATTTCTATTTGCTATTCTACAGAAGTAAGTACCAATAAGAGACAGACAACCTCCATAACTACTGTCTTCCACGTAATTGATCTATTATTCACGCATTACTGAAGGAACACGAATTACTAACCCGTTTTAGCATTATACTCCAATCTCCCCATCAATTTCAATAAACCCCATCTTCCGTCTTCCAAACCATCAATCATACGGTTCATACCAATTCGACCGTACATCCTGTACAACAGGAGCTCTCGCGAATCTCCTTCGCTGGAAAAGCTCCCCATTCTCATCTCGTACCCACATCAACTCATAGTTGAAACTATCATCCCCTTCCGACCACTGCTTGTGAACTTCCTCTTCTTCCTCGTTTCGGTTTCGTCGTCTCATATACACCATAAAGTCCGCCGGCGCCCAGAAGACCCGAAGAGCGGCACGACGCAGCATCTTCCGGTTGGCAACACGAACGAGCGCTCTCCCCATCCCGCGGAGACGCACCCATGTCCAGCGGAATAGGTGAGTTTTCAGCTTCGCGAGTTGAAGAGCCAGGATGTAACCTATGACCGAGAAGAGGGCTAAGGTGAAGAAACCGCAAAGTACGAAGATGAGTATGATGACGATATTAAAGAAGATCGATAAGACATCGAATGGGAAACCTATCCATGATAACAGGGTCTTCCATGTGTATAGGATATACTCGGCTAGGCAGTCTAGGGGACCGATGCAGATTATGGAAGAGAGGGTTTGGATGTATGAATTGATGGAGAGGTAGATGAGGAGGATGAAGGTTACGGTTAGGATTATTGCTGCGAGAGCTAGACGCTGGTCGTCGTGGTCCATGATGGTATGGTTGTTGGGTTTAAGGGGATTGTTAGTTGAGCCTGCTTTTTTAGTATTGGGCTTTGTGCTGGTGAGGGATGAGGAAAGAAGGAGAGAGGAGGGAGATTTATTGGCACTTGCCAGTACATTAGGGAGTTGTGAGGACACCGAGATCCGATGTTGTGCATTGTTTATGTACTTCAAGTTTCGTCTTCCCATATTTTGGTAAGTGGTCTCTTGTTCGTATCTACAATGTTGTTAATGATGGTGTTTATAGGTAAAAGACTGAGTGTGTATAGGTCAATCCTGTCAATCACAAGTTTTATGGGACAGGTTACATTTATGGGATATACTTTCATGGCATCGGTATTCTACTTGAATAATTATACTGAATGAGAATGGACGCAGGAGAAACGCGAAATTATCCAATCTATGGAATGTTAACCTAGATATTAAAGACTCATTCTCCTAAGCTAACCTGGTCATATATCAGACTCCTTCAGAAATCTATTAAGGCCCCTAGTTCAAATTCCCGATCATTTCTCACACGGTTAATATACATATGATCACTTTCCCTCGGCGTCACATTTCTCATACAAATCTATCTTCTCCAATACACATTCCTCAGCCGTGTATGCTTCTATTTCATTAGTTCCGTCTTGAATTCACATTTAGTCTACCGTCCTGAGCCGCTCTACCGGTTTACACCTAAGATATTTCTCATCAGTCCTCCCCCACATCCATCCCTCATCCTTCATATCCATCCCTCATATCCACCCCTCATATCTATCCCTTACCCTCACCCCCTCCCTCCCCATCAGACTCGGACCCCCCCAACCCCTTCAACCCACGCACATCCTCCGCACGCCTAAGCAACGCCGCCACACAAGCGATCCTCCTCGCCGTCACCGTCACCGCTACCGGCCGGTTCCCCCGAATTCCCCCACGAGCAGCCGGCAGGAACGGGCCAATCTAAACCCCGCAGCTTCCGCGTTAGGGATCGTGCCGTCATTGTTGGATCCGTTCGGCAAAAATCGGGCAAATCTAAATCCCGGGGTGCCGTTGTCATTGAGTCCAAATGGCGCCCGGGCTCTAGGGGTGTTGTATATGCGATTCTGGCGCGGAGGTGAGAGCGGGAGAGGACCAGCGCTGTAGGATGGGAGTGGAGTTCGGGGAGTGTTGCCGGCTGCGGCGTAAGGCGGCGGCGGGTCATTCGGAGCGCCGCTGTAGCGCGGTGGGTGGTTTAACGCCGGTTCCGAGCTCTGGTACCCGGGTGGGATTTGGATGGGAGGCGGAATGTGGATGTGGCGTGTACGACGGCGACCGCGGACTTCGGTGACTGTTATATCGCCTTCTCTGGAGATGGATAGTTGGGTCCATGTTGTTGGGCGTGGTGCCCAGGGGATGTGGGAGAGTGTGTGGGTGAGTTGGGTGCATAGGAAGATTGTTAACCGGCCGACTAGGTGGAAAAGACGGATGAGGAGGGTGATGTAGAAGAGAGTGGTTAGGTTCGCTTGTATGAGGTCGGATTTCAAGAGAGTGGTGATGGAGATTAAGGGGAGGGTAACTAGCTCGCAGAGGAATCCAAGGAATCTAATAGGAAGGAGGACGGCGCTGTGGACTGTTATAAGGGGTTCTCCAAGGAAGCACTCATGGTTGCGGTTCATGTGGTGGATGGGTGATGTTACCATATCTAAATCCACTCGAGATTTTGCGGTGGTGATATGTCGTATCGCCGTTAGGATCGTTGCGAGTTTGTGTGTTTGAGTGAGGATTGAGCTTTTACGTTGATTTATTTTCGAAACTGTGGGTTTGGTGATCACAGTTCGAGTCCTCTTTTTATAGTCCTGACTCTAGGGGGAAAGGTGAATAGAAAACGTGAAGGAAGCTTTTATAGACGAGAAAGGTTACTGTACTATGTTTACATACTTCGATGTCACCGATCGTCTAACATGCGTATCAGGACTTGTGGACGTACTAAGGTTTTGTTCTCTGCTCGCTCACAGAGAGGTTAGGTTCTGCATTGTTTATGCACTTTCCAGTACTTGATCTTCAGAGATACCTTGGTAAGTAAACACTTCACTCGGCTGGTATGCAGTTCACTCTATACTTGTGTAACTAACTATGAGTATTCAGTTCTTAGTCTACGGTTCCGTCACTCCTCGGTCCTTAAAACCCCTATTCAACTATTCCTAGTAGCAACTTATTTGAAAAACTAGTCCTCAGTCAAAACCCATCATATCACTACTCTCATGCCAAAATTCACATCTACTCTCATATCGATTCCTTTTCAAGATTTCAGGTTGAAGCATTTCTATTCGCTATCCCTAGAGCTGTACAACTAGTTCAGTGGGTACAAGTTCCATGACTTCTGTTAATTTGTCTCGTCTCTCAATATCTACCAGTTTATTTACCTCCCGTCAACTCAACACTCACTTCCTCGTCGTACGGCTTGTAGTACCCGTCGCAGGTTCCCCGGTCCTCACGCGTCCTCTGTCCAGAATCGCCCTCACCTCACTCGGAATAGACCATAGGGTACCAAAGCGCCTAGGCTGCAAAGCCGTCCTCACCGCAGCTTGATATTCCCGCATCTGTTGATGGGATAGGGACCTCAGATCGCGTGTGAATGGTTCTGCAAGTGGCAGTATCTTGGGTGAGGGTATGGGTAACCTACTAGCACGGGGTGTAGACCTCTGGCTAGTAATAGACGTATCGCTAGTAGAAGACTTCTCGCCCTCGCTGCTGTCAGAGCCTGTAGCAACGCTCGTCGATGTCGTCGGAGTGGGATCTAATTGCATAATATCGCCGGGGACGGGGATATCGTTAACAGGATTGTAGATATAACCAGATGGATGTGCCGGTTTTGAACTCAATAGCACAATGTCCCCAGGAACGGGTATATTGTCCACGGGATTACTCTGCTACCGGAGAGTCATACTCCTCAACCACAGTCTCGAAGAAATTCTCCCATATCCCTTCGACACCCACTCGGATCCAAGAGTACACAGCCCTACTTACAAGTTTTATGAGGTAAAATATCTCTACGATGAGCCCTATATATGCGAGCACGACTAAGTGTGAGCGCACGAAGTCCGATTCCAGCGCTTCGCAGAGGTTGTCGAGGAAGAGGGTCATCAGGTTGCAGGCGAAGCCGATGCAGAATACCACTACGCTGTGTATCGTGTGGAGGTTCCCTAAGAGGCGTGAACAGTCCTCTTCGACGCAGAGAGCGATCAGAGAGGCCATTTGTAAGCACATTTGAGTCCCGAACGAGGTGACATTGGATGGGATTGAGTCCATTCCACTCATGGTAGTGGGTTGCGGCTGCGGTACACTGCTTGCGGACGAGTAGCCTGCGAAGTTGGGGAGTTGAAAGTTACTCACCATCTTTGGGAGCGTTGTGGGTGGAGGTGGTTGAGTGTTGTGTGGAATTTTGAAGGGAGTGTTATTGGAAGGGTGGTGTTTGTACTTTGGACTGTGAGTTAAGTTGTGTTCACAGTTGAAGTCCGATTGGTAGAGAACTGTCTGGCGGATTGTGAAGATGAAGGATGAAGAAGCCTTTTATAGATGGAGGAAATTATAGGTATGTGAGTTGTATTCGATCAGTGTATCATGTGTTGTTGGCGTATAGGGATAGGGATGGTATACTTTGTTCAAGTACTTTGCGATAATGTTTTGTATCATAATAATGACTATATCAGAGCTTGGTGATACTAGAATAATCTTCTTTGTTTACTCACTTCGATCCTTCCGTTTTGTAGAGTTCTATTTGCGAATTCCTACACGAGATTATCGGACAGTGAGGATTCACGAAAGCGGAATCTGACAGTCCACCATTGTGTGTACAGATCCTTTAGAATAGGGCCTAGAGATTTCAATATTGTCAAGATATTTGAGGTACTCTACCTATTTAGAAGGTCAGATAAGTATAATTGAACTTCCTTGAACTGTCCTCATAACTTTCATATATAGCACAAAAGGTATATCTCTGATAGCACTTTTGTTCAATATCATACTCGCAGGCACTTATTACTCACAGCAGTTCATAACTTAATATTTGGTATCAATGGATACCAATTGATTATCATTCATCTATATCAGTTCTTCTACACTTTACCTCTTACAGTAGACAACCCCTTAACGTCTCTTCTCCCACCGTGAACTACTCATCACTTCCTTTGGTACTGGTCCTAGGGTACTGTATGTAGGTGAACGGGGAGCAATCCATAAGTTTCTAGGAGTACTTGGTCCAAGAGATTGCGAAGTCGACAGACGCTCTAGGGGTAAACGGTGACGACGACTCTCCATCTCCTTCTTCATCTGTGCATATGATTTCTCGCGGTTGGCAACAAATTCATCATGTCGTGGATATTGTCGTCGAAAGAAGAGTTGCAACTCCGGATCAGGTTTAGGATCGTACTCCCTGATCCAGATTCCAAGGCCGGCTTCGGCGCCGGTAATTTCGGTTTCTTGAGATGGTTCAGGGGTAGTGGTTGGGTTACCTCGACATCGATATATGGCATTGATGACGCGGTTGACAAAGCGGCGGATGATCCTAAGAATGAGGATGATAATGGCCAGAGCCAAAACAGCCGATAGAATGATGTGGAACTTATCAGATGCCAGAAGGCCGTAGAGGAGTTCGAGGACAGATGTAATAGTGTCGCAGACGAAGAAGACAACATAGATCACGCCTCTGATGTAGAGGTAAAATATTTCTTTTAGTTGAAACATGATGGACCGATGGACCTTTTGACTTTCTACCTTAGTGTGTAGATTCGTCTTTCGTTGAAATGCTTTGTAATGCTATTTCAACTGTAGGATATTTGTTGTTGTTGTTGTTGTTGTTGTTGTTGTTGTTCTTGAAAAAGAAAATTGGAGATAATAGTTAGAAAAAGTCTTTTATAGCTGTAATATGGCCAAGGAAGTAAGTTGTGTTCATTCACAAAATGCGAGCTGTTGAGGTAATGGACGACTGATATGTATTGTTTGCACGCTTTGTTATTCTCGTACACCCACCCACTTCCCGGTCATGATTAGCCCTTTATACTCTTATAGAATAACAATCGGTGACTTATTGATCCTGATTGACCTCGGTGGTGTGTGCTATCAATCCCCACATTTAGTAGGTCCTGTTCCATACGCTTCAACTTCCCTATATATAGATATCAAAGGCCCAATTGAAAGTACGAGTACACGAGGGGGTGGATAATCCGAAGCATTTTATATAGGAAATAAGCAATATTATCTTATTTCCATAGAATTGGAGTCGGAGGTGCTTTAAGTGACATCTGTGCGTCCACTGGACGCTGGAGGGCTTAATTTTCACGAGATTCTTATGGCGTGTCTCAAACAATGGAAAATTAGTTGTTGTATGAGGAAGCAAAGAAGGACGAGTGATTGAGATGAGTAGTTCGTACGAACTTATAAGGTGGCAGTGCGGAGAATATAGGTAACTGTTAAGAGGAGAAGTTCTAAGTCTTCGCGGTAACGTTCAGAGCAACGGAAACATGCAGCACCATGTCTTACTAATCACATCACCACCCTGTAAGTTTAAATATTCATATTCTCACAATTTTCAAAAAGAATCATAAGTCGCATGTAAACAGTTTCTATCATTTGTATTAACCCCTCATTCTCTGAAGACGAAACTCCAACTCTCTCTTCTCTTACTCTCTCCCTGAAAAGCGTTCAGGCACCGAACCACTCTACGAAAGCTGTTATGTCATTCACCAGACTCAAGACCCTCTGAATATACTCTTGAGAGCAAGAAAAAGAGCATTCAAAAGCACCACAGCTTAAACCTGAGCCGGAGCCTCTCTTCACGAAGTTTGCAAACTTGCATATGACTTATATAAACAAGCAGAGGACTTGCAATAGGATGAAGTTCATCACTTTAAGAAGGAGTATAGACGCGCTATTAGCTTTACAAGCGTCCACAATCATCTTCGCTAATTTCGGGGAATGAAGAAGTGACTGAGGTGTTGTTGGTGATGACGTTCAGTAGTTGGGCCATTTTTAGGGTGTTGTTGGTAGTTGTTGTGTAGGTAGTGGTATGATTTGTTTTGTTTTGTTATGTTGAGGTGATGTTCCACGATGTGAATATATTCGTAGTGTAATAAGGTTTTGGATCTATGGTATAATTGTCGGCCCTAAGCACACGTTTTATAGGAGTGGAAGAGATATTGTACAATCAACTAGTTTGAGTATTGTCAGGTCATAATGTTCTCGATAGAAGCTTTGTTGAGCGTTAAGATGTGTTTGTTACCATACCAAAGACTACATTGTGCTCATCTCCTTTGTCCCGGTTCAAAATATCTTCATTCTTATATTGTACGGTTTGTGTACAGTGCTGTAAATTTAATGCATACTGTTCAAACTCCAAACTAGCTCCATAATTGAACGCGAAGAAATAATATAGTTGGAAAGTAGATAAGGACAAACAGGTTCCTTCTTACTTTACCATTCAAGTCCTTCTTAACGCAAATTAAGTCTCACGATACACAGTTCATGCATTCACATACCCAGCCAAAAGTTAGTTCAGTTTCCTTCATTCCATTCTACTTTCTACCCAGAATAGCATGATCTAGTGTTTCGTCTCAAGCCACTCATTCCTTCTCTCCTTCTGGACTCCCATTCCTCAACGCCTTAACCCGTTCAACCAGCCCTCCCAAAGCGGCCTCAAGCCATTCAAACACTTCTATCACAATCGTTGCTAACAGCTCCCGCGCAACATATGTCTTCGCCAAACTAGCCATCAAGATAGAGATGAACACCATTGTATGTGCAATCGAATGTAGGGTCCTCGCACAATAAGCAAGAAACGTCAGTATCTTGTCCAAGAACCTCAATAGCAGTAGGAACAAGAGGGCAGAGGTGAGATTGCTCCCGTTTCCTATCTCAGCGATGGTCGTCAGGCCAAGATCAACTTTCGGAAAGACGGTGATAATCCAGGCCATGGCCATTGAAGAGATGTAGTTAGAAACGCGAGTGGAAGTGACTCGGAAGATGCTTGTCATGTTGTTTGCGTTTGGTTGTGGTTGGTTGAAGATGTTGGTTATTGTGAAGGGTTTGGAAGTTGTTGGTATCTTCAGTCGCCTTTGGAGGTTTGAATGTGAAGAGTGGTGTTTGAAGGTTGAGTGGTTGAGTTGTGAAGATTAGAGATCGGTTGAGGGCGAAGGATTTTTTATAGGGGTTAACTTATTTTCTATTACGGACAATGTAATGGGTAAACCCCACGGTGTAGTGCTAGAAAAACGAGGACTGAATTTTCCTCATTCCCTTCTTTATCGTATTTGGCATTCTTCACTTACTATACGCTTTTTATACACACAACGATGTACTGTCCAATATATCTCCTTGTGATTTCTTTTGCTCTGTACTACTCAGCTCGTGAGTCTCGGTATAGTAAGCGTACAACAGGAGGACTGCAGTCAGAAAGAATATCAGTTGTTCCTTTCCAGATGAATGAAATACCCCATATAGAGGCAAGGGCATGGGGATACGACCTTTCAAATGCAACGAAATAAGAATCTTACTATTACCGTAATATTCACAAATAATCAGAGCGTACCGTTGCGAAAAGACCAGGGTCAAATAGTAAGCATTTCCTGGATCTATATGACTTCTTCACCCTTCCCTAATTAGTGCCCAAGACTTCTACTGCACGATCTGGTTCATTACCAATGACCACTAACCACAATACAGTTCGGCTTCCGCTCATAAGATGCCCTCATAACCTTTCCAGTCGCCTAAAAAGCTCCACTAGGTTTGTGAGAAGCTCCGAGCCGCAAGATGAACTCTGTTTCACGAAGTATCAAAGGAACAATGTTTGAATAACAACGATAGCGAGTACCAGGAAGCGGAGGACACTGAAGGAGTTCCTCGCCCTTCTTTCTCGACTGAATGCGTGTAATGAAGGAGAAGTCCAAAACGGGGCTAACGTTGGCAGCGCGGTTGAGGAAGCTTAGAGAACATTTACTATTCAGGTGGGTTTATTGTGATAAATTGAGTGTCTCGGTCAAATGGTTTGCGCGAATTTTTACTATGTTTAAGTAGAATTTTATGGCTATATTTGCGAGTCTGTGTTACCAGAGGTGCTTCTTGAGGGGGGTAGGAGGACCGATTGGCATTTTGTATCTTGGGGAAATACATCTACTATTCCCTCAAAAGTCCATCTTAAGAGCAATAGTCGGCGCTTCCCTCTCCTCCTCACTCTTCTTCCTCCCCAGTCCACCAGCCGCACTCTTCACCAGTTCCTCCAACACTTTCCTCTCGCCCTCTTCCATTGCTCCCACCGCAGCCCTGAACACAACTTGGTTTGCAGCCGCAATTTCCAGCAACCTCGCACCAGTTTCTCGTCTCGTACTCTCGTCATTCTTCGCCCTCACCACTAGGGTCGGCACGACAACTCCCATCGCGGCCTGCACCTGTTTCAGCTCTCTCAGAGACGAGACCCACGCCACGAGCGCTTGGACGATGATGGTCCGAGCATCTTCCAGACCTTCTACCTCGGAAGGGCACGCGAGAAAGCCGAGTAGATGAGGC